TTTGTTTGTTTCCTTTGATATCTGTGAGAGTTTAATCATGAATTGAGTGAATTATATCAAAGGGTTTGTTTGTTTGTTTTTTTTTATTCATAAAAGAGAGAGTTGTTCTTCAGTGGATTCCGTAAAATTTAGGTCTGAAGCTTTGGTGGATTCAGAAGTAGCTCATCATCATGGATTCGACATCAGCGTTGTGGATTCAATGTTGGGCAAGATAATTCCGAGGTGAAGACGGGGCTGGAAGAGGCACATAGGGATTGGTTCAATTCGGGCATAGATTCGCTAGGTAATTGAGAGTACACTTGTGTAATTCATTTATGTCTTCTTAGAGGATTGTGTTATGACTTTTGCCCATGTTTTTTTTATCACAATTGTGATTTTTTCACACAAAATTGGTGTGTCGATTTGTCTTTTATTGTTTGATTGAGATTGTTATTTACTGATTAAAATTGATACATACTTACAAATTAATATCTAAGAGATTTCTAGATTTTTCAAAGTTAACAATGCTTTGTAACTACAAAAATATTCAAAATTTAAAATATGTTGATTAGCTTGATTTTGAATTCCAACCACCTCACACCAAGGGGGAAAAAAATTAACTTCATTTTGAATTCACAATAAATAAAAATAAAAAAAAGATTCATTTTGAATTCCAACCACCTCACAGCAAGGGAAAAAAGAAAAAATTAATTCTACATCATAGATTCAAATTCTGAGCATTTTTTTAAACAAAAAATTTGAATATAAATAAATTTAAATCTACATCATATATTCAAGTTCTAAGCACTTTCTATGTTTTCTTTTTTGTTTTGGGCATATTATACTTATAGTCCATGTAATTTACCTCCTCTGCCAATTTAGTCCTTATAGTTCTAATTGAATCAATTTTATTCTCAAAATTTTCATATTATAGAAATTTTATACAACTGTTAACTAGGAGTATTCGCAGTTCGGTTGCAGCCAGAGAACCTCTAATCCGCCATCCGTCCGTCAGGTTGGCGGATCTGGATTAGCGGATGGATGCGAATCAGTTTGATGGTTTAAATTTTTACAAATTTTGAACATAATATAACAATTTGTCAACTTGTTTTTTTGGATAACAATTTAACTCAACATAACCAAAAGATTATCAAGTAAATTGTCAAATATCAATAATAAATACATATAAGAAAATCATGTATTATCAAAACTATTTCATTACTTTTTTTATTCAAAAACTATTTAATCTGATTTTTTTAAAAATAACAAAATTAAGCATTATATTTTTCATACAAAAATACCAAATATCAACACTTGCCATTCAATAAAAGGATTTCCAAATTGAAAACAAATTAAAAACATTACAGAATATTTAAATTCTTTTTTAATTGAAAATACAAACAAAATATCTAAACAAGTTGAAAACACAAAGTCTTACAAATTACTAAGGGTGCTCGTAGTTTGGCAGTTCGGTTGCGGTCAAAGGAATCTCAAATCCGTCATCCGTCTAATACTAGGCAAATTGGAAAAATTCACAACCGTCCGTTTTTCATAACGCACCTGTCCAAAATCCGTTAGATCGGTTTAGCTCGGTCAATTTGGACAGATCAAAACATCCGCTAAACACCCCTACTATTAACACTTCCTAAAAAATTGCACTGAAATCATGAGCTAAGATAGTCTATTCAAAAAAACATAGACAATTTGGTTTTGAAGAGAATGAATAGATTATTTTGTTTCTTGATTTCAGTTATATATTAACGAAATTAACAATTAACAAACACCGTTGTTGGCTTATTTTTCCTACGAAGGAAAATATCATAAATGCGAGCGTGCCAGTAAGGATTGAAAAATCCTTACAGATTAAATTCAAGCCAATTATCAAGCGATTGTGTTGACGGTTCTTTTGCCTCAACGAAGAGGACTTCAAAATTGTCAAGTGTAGAGAAAAGAAAAAGTAAAAGAAGAAAAAGGGACGGAGAAAGATGATTGAGTGAACAATCAAAGTAATAATTACTTACCTCTACTCCTATGCTTCGAAAAGAAAGTGCATAAAATGCTTCGAAATGGAAATGCTGAAAATAAATGCTTCGAAATATAAATCTATGTTAAACTACTCCTAAGATAAGGAAAATAACAAGAAATATTGAAATCAAGTGTCTTTGATTATGAATTCTGGATCCCTTACAATGTAGCCATTAATGGCTATTTATAGAAGAAAAAATACAGCAATAACTACTTAGTAACTACCCATTTCTTCCATCTTCATTCTTGTCTTGCCATGTGTCATTCCACTCATCCACTTTGTCCTCCCACTCATCCACTTTGTCCTTCATATTCTCCATTATCTCTATAACTTCTTTTAACTTCCAAATGAATAAGAGGATGCCACGTGTCCTGCAATTATATAAATAATAAATAATAATAAAAATTGCAGATTTATGGTGTTAACAACCGTCATATTGTAAAAAATTAAAGTGTACTAAATTGATATAAAAGACAAATTACAAACACTACGAGTATAACTTACCTTATTTATTTATTTATTTTCAAATTCCCTATCTTAGAAAGAAAAAAAAAAAAAAGGGAACAAAATAAGAGTAAACATCAAAGCTGTTAAGGTTGTATAGTGAAGAAACAACCGACAACTAACAAGATGGTGTTAATATAACAGCTTCCTATATGTATATAGATAGAGATGTTGGGTTGACTTGATTGGTAAGTATTAACGGTTGGAGATTGAAGGCTACAACACAACCATTCCATTTCCCACATTTTATCCAGATTTTATTTATTTATTATTATTTTTTTTTTTATGTCCTATCTTTTTCTTTGGGTTTGGAAATAGAAATGCCGTGGATCTGTTTTTTTTTTTGTGAACATAAATGCCTTGGATCTGACTGGATAATGATATTTGCAACCTTCGCTTGCTGCTTATCAAATTTGAATGACGGTGTGTTTAATAATGGTTCTAAATAATGCATGCATCTTCATGTGACATGTCACGTGATGGAAAACATCAAACAAAGAACGGTAAATTTTTTAACATGCACAGTGGCGGAGCCACGTAATTAAAGACCAGGGGGTCCCATACCCCTAGATTTTGTAATTTTTTTTTAAATATAAAGAAAATATTTTAAATAAAAAAATATTATTAAAGTGAATGTCAATGATATTTTAAAAATTATAAAAATAATAATGGTTGTTTTAATTAAAAATGAAGAGACTATTATAAATTATATTATCTATGAAAATTTTTAAATGTAACGGTGATATCATTATTATTGACATACAAGTATAAATAATCTCACTATAAAGATATGAAATTTATCGAATTATTAGTTACATTTGACATATAAGGTTCATTCTCTATGTGTTTATTTATTATTAGTTGGTGATATCGCATACTAATGATGACGTGATATTACCATTATATTAAATTTTTCATCAAATTTTGTATAAAAAAATAATTTATCCTTATATAATTTATTTTAAGACTTATATCCATATTTATTTATATTGTCCATGATACACTAATTATAAATAACATTATTTTTTTTATGTTTCACGAAATCAATTGTAAAAACTTGCCTGAAATATTTTTGTAAAAATTTTTGATATTGTAATTAATAAGTACTCCCTAATTTAACTTTCTGGTTTCGCCATTGTACATGCATATCGACTAATTTCAAGATTCTAAAATTAACAACCGGGAAAAGAATGGATAAATTACACTCATCTCCCTTAAGATTAAAAAAATTACAATAAACTTTACAAGTTTCACCTAATTATACTGAATTTCATCAATATTTTAATTCATATAATACTTAATCCTCTTTTCATTAAATAAAAATAAATAAATAAATAAAAAAATTAGTCATATGAATATTTAACTTTATTTATCTTTATATCTTCACTCCATTTGCATTAATTTCAATTTTTTAAGTCTAACTTAAAAATATAAATAAATAAAAAGGCCTTGAAATTAATTCAAAACTATGGATTTTTTTTTTTTTTTTTTTTAACGATAAACTATGGATCTTGTTATATTTTGTTTCAAAACTTAAAGGGAGGTTAGTTCAATTTACCCAAAAAGAATTGTACTCATAAAATTTTCAAGTACAAAAAAGATGAAAAGAACTCATCCATGACAACTATCGATTTTAAGTGCTCATTTAAAAATAATAATAAGAATAATAATCTACTTTTCCAAAAGTTACTTTTCCGTATAAAAAATATATATTTTTGGGAATCTCTATTTTTTTTTATGAATAGACTATTTTACTCTCAAATTATATGAGAAATTCTACAACATTCTTTGGGTTAGGTTAACAAGAGCCTCACAGCACTTTAAGAATTAATAATATAGTAATTGAAAAATGACTTGGACCCCCAGTGAGGTGCTGGGGTCTTCACTGATTGGCCAAAATTTTTTTTTTTTTTTTGGGTTTCAGTCAGTGACAGGCTGCCACGTGGCACTGGGAGTCACTAGGAGTGCCCCAGCTGGAGTCGGAAGCACCGCTGTATAGTAATTTTTCACTAAAAAAGAAAAGAAAAAGTTTGAAAAGACTCACAAAACTGTCCATAATAAAAACAAAAATAAAAATAAAAATAAAAAACTTCTTTAACAATTACCAATCATATCAGTTTTTTCAAATTCTAAAAAAAAAAAATTTAAAAATATTATAAAAAATAAAAACACCCAGCTCTCTCTCTCTCTTCAATGTACGAAAATAAAACAAATAGACACAATTTTTTTTTTTACTTTTAACTTTGTTCTTTTTCATGTGTTCATTTAACTTGTGCCAATTCAGAATGACTTCCAAAAGGGTTAATTTTGGAACATTGGGGAAACCATCAGAAACATTATTTGGATAAAATAATCAAATCTTTAACATCACTCTAAGAGTCAAGTTGGCCCAACAGCCTCAGTCTCATAGCTAATAATAATCTCATCCCAAAATCACCTAATTAACCAAACGCCACCACTTCCTTCTCTCTCAGTATATATACACACTCTTCAATTCTTCTCATCATCTGCACCAATTACCAGCCTTTGAGTGATCACTCAAACCAACCCACATTGTCTCTTAACACCCTTTGGAATCAAAACAATTGTCAAGTTTTGAAAGGAAACAATTGAGATATGGGTTCAAGCTTCCCAAGGGTTGTGCTCTTTGTCTTGAGTTGTTTATGGGTTTTAGCAGAGCTTGTGCTTGCAAAACATGGAGGCATCACAAGGCACTACAAGTTTGATGTATGCACAACATTACAGCTCAATTGATGCATTTTAGTGTTCCCGAGGCAATGTCCTACAGCTCTAAGAGTTACATGATTATCTGGGGTCTACTCCTAAATGCAGGGAACCCACACGATCATTTAGCTGTTTAGGCAGTTTGCATTGTCTCAGGAGAGTCAAATAGTTTTTTTATTTTTATTTTAAGGTTGTTTCTGGTATAATTAAGAATATTGTTCATGTTGCTTTAATTTTTTATATTTTTTTTTTCCATGACTTAATTACAGATCAAGTTGCAAACTGTGACAAGGTTGTGCCAAACAAAGAGCATTGTGACAGTCAATGGGCAGTTTCCAGGGCCTCAGATTATTGCTAGGGAAGGTGACACAGTGATAGTTAAGGTTGCTAACCATGTCCAGAACAATATCACTATTCATTGGTATGGAACAACCTCACCATTATTATACATTAATTGTTTGCAAAGGATTCTCTATCTCTAAATTTCTATCATCCTATCCCAATGTACTAGCCATCAATCGTAGGATCATGTGAGAATCTTGAGACATAAAATTTTCAAAACTTGATTATGTGATTGAAAGTGCAGGAAACAAAGGGATATAGAAATTTGCAGAAAGAGAAGTGTCATATCTACTGTATTACAAAAAACATACATCCCATTTGGTGTGAATAATCACTCTTTTTATTTTTGCAAAAATGCTTTCCACATTTAACTGTCACATCCAATAAGGGGTTGTTTGGGATGTCATAAATAAGTGCACTTTTTGTCTTTTTGGACTAAAAAGTTGAGGAAAAAAAATGAATGTTTGGATTAACTTTTTGACTTTTTATGAAAAAAATGTGTATTAAAAAATTATATAAGTGCATAGGAGAAGTGATTGAGTAGCCCATACAGTACCTAGGCAGTGTAGTCGGCTGTTAGGAGATGGAAAATGATTGCCTCCTTTCCAGGCTTGAATTAGACGGTGTTGTTCGCCCCGTGTGGGCCCACCACGGGTCTCGTTTTTCTAAGCGGAACATTCAATATGTAAAACTCGTCGAGTACTATATGTTTGTAAAAAATCACGTTGATCAGATATCGATAGCTATCTGATCGTGTTAGTTTTTTGTCAACCGTTAACTATAACACCATCTATTGTTTATACAAAACTTATTTAATCATGTAGCTATCCATATCCGATTAACGTGATTTTTTGCAAGCATATAGTATTCGATGAATTTTACACATTACGGTTTGAATTATCAAAACAGGACCCGTGGTGGACCCCCACTGGCCCAACATTGCCCTCCAATTTAATAAATATATATACCTATTTTTTTTTTTTCCCCTGTGACAGCCTTTCCATCAATTCTCAGTACCAGTCACGTCTTTGTATTAAAATATGTAATAAATTAATTTTTTTATATTTTTAATTTATGAATAATAATAACTTTTTAACATTTTTAGTAATTTTTTTATTTTTTAAATTTTTTTAAAGATGTCAAACTATGCCTAAATATTGAACAGTGTTCCTCATTCATCGCGTTTACATCCATCGCTAATATATACATATACCACTGTTTGCAATTGGTTGGATGCACTAGCTTGAAATTTGACTAACATGCGACTTGAAATTTGAAGGCATGGAATAAGGCAGCTAAGGAGTGGATGGGCAGATGGACCTGCATATGTTACGCAGTGCCCAATTCAAACAGGCCAGACTTATGTATACAAGTTCACCATCACTGGCCAGAGAGGGACCTTGTTTTGGCATGCCCACATTTCATGGCTTAGAGTGACTCTCTATGGACCTATTGTCATCCTTCCAAAGAGAAACATTCCTTACCCATTCCCACAGCCCCACAAAGAAGTCCCAATAATATTTGGTAATTCAATCAATTACTTCCATGAAAAAAAATAAAATTCGTCACTCATTCATCATCATTAGTGTTGCAAATATCATATTATGAATAGTTTTCTTCCTTACAAAACTCAAATGGCTTGGCTTCAAATTGTAGGTGAATGGTGGAAAGCAAATACTGAGACAGTAATCAACCAAGCATTGCAAACAGGAGGAGCCCCAAACCTCTCTGATGCCTTCACTATTAATGGTCTTCCTGGACCCTTTTACAATTGCTCAGCTAAAGGTATATAATGGTGATATAAAGTCTGAAAACTTGTGCAAAATTTTTATACGTATCACTTATTGCGGTTCTTTTATTTTAATACACAATGCTTATAATTATGCTCATAATTTATAAGTGAGTAACGATATACAAATAGAATTTTTATACATAATTTTCATACAGAATGATGAACCTTTTATTAGTCCTGCATTTCCGATCAAAACAACAACAATAATAATAAATAAATAAATAAAAACCTATTGACACATCATTTTGGATGTGTTTTCTGTTTAACTTTTCTATATACAAATCATTTTTCTTTACAAATATGCTACTGCCACATTATTCTAACAGCAAATTTTGTATAAAAATTCAAATATCATCTTGTTACATGTAATATACAAGGTTATGCTTCTTGTAGATACATTCAAACTGAAGGTGAACCCAGGAAAGACATACCTCCTCCGCCTAATCAACGCTGCACTGAACGACGAACTCTTCTTCAGCATTGCCAACCACACACTCACCGTGGTTGAAGCGGACGCAATCTATACAAAACCATTCAAGACCAATATAGTCCTCATAACCCCAGGACAAACCACCAATGTCCTCCTCAAAACCAAACACCACCACCCCAAAACTTCCTTCCTCATATTCGCCCGACCTTACGCCACCGGCCCCGCCCCCTTCGACAACACCACTACCGCCGCAATCCTCGAATACCACCACCCATCCTCAAACAACAAAACCACCAAACTCCCTCTATTAAAACCGTCACTTCCTAAATTCAACGACACAATATTCGCAACGAATTTCAACAAAAAAATCCGAAGCTTAGCGAACGCAAAGTTTCCCGCAAACCTCCCTAAAACAGTAGATAAAAAGTTTTTCTTCACGGTGGGTCTGGGGGTAAGCCAGTGCTCGCAGAACCAGACGTGTCAAGGACCCAACAACATGAGATTCAAGGCTTCAATAAACAACGTGTCGTTTGTGCTTCCGAGCACTGCTCTTCTTCAGGCGCATTTCTTCAAACAGTCGGCGGGCGTTTACACCACTGATTTTCCGGCGAACCCGCCGGTGAAATTCAACTACACGGGCAATCCGCCGAGCAATATAATGGTGAATAGTGGGACTAAAGCCGTGGTGCTTCCATTTAATGCGAATGTGGAGGTGGTTTTGCAAGATACGAGTATTATTGGTGCTGAGTCTCACCCTTTGCATCTCCATGGATTCAATTTCTTTGTGGTGGGTCAGGGTTTTGGAAATTTTGATTCCAAGAGAGATCCGGCTAAGTTTAATCTGGTTGATCCGGCAGAGAGGAACACCGTTGGCGTTCCCTCCGGCGGTTGGGTTGCTATTCGCTTCCGAGCAGACAATCCAGGTGAGTTATTTTCTGCTCCATATATTAAAAATAAATAAAAAGCATTTTAAATTATTAAAATAGATCTTAAAATGGCTTAATTAACCGTTAGGCACCATGTACAACAATTTAAACAAACCAAAAAAATTAAAATTAAAAATTGTACATAAATCTGAGTAAGGATAGTAATTTTTTTTTTTCTCCAAAAGTAATTTGTTGAATGATTAAAAATTAATAGTATAAGAATTGAAGGTACAATAATAAAAGAAATTAAGAGTATGACAATCATCTAAAAAATTCAATGAGGATCACTAAAAGTGTGACTCTCATTTTGGGTGACAAAGTTATATTTAATTTTGAGAAGAATTGAAAATTATTTTTTTTTCAGTGTATGTGTATAGGGTTAAATTTCATCCGTCATAGTTTTATATTTTAAAAACATTATGTTATATCATTAGGGAAGACATTTTTATGATTTTTGATAACTTTAAAATTTTTAATTATCTTTGAACTTCTATACTAAAATTTTTCATAAGAACCATTGAAATTTGATTAATTTCTAGTTGGACGACATTCTTAATAAAAAATATATAATTAGAATTTTATTTGTTTAACATTTTCCATGGAGAAATGTTATCTGTACACCAAATGTGAACCTACATTCATGTGAGAGCTTCTATGCATTATGTGCACAAATTTTTTGTATAAATAGTATTTCTTATGTTCTTTTGGACTAAATTGCAACAAAAATTTACAAAGTTGCTCAAGAAAGTTTATTTTAACTTCTTATTTTTTTTTTCACAATTAAAATGCTTATATTATTATATTTCAATAGGTGTATGGTTCATGCACTGCCATCTAGAAATTCACACGAGCTGGGGATTGAAGATGGCTTGGATTGTGATGGATGGAAAGCATCCACATCAGAAGTTGCCTCCTCCACCGGCTGATCTTCCAAAATGTTGACCAAATTATCTCTTAAATTTCATTTTTTGTCCTTTCTTTCTTTTCTCTTTTTCAAAATTTTAAAAGGAAGAGCAGTGTAGAAGTATTTTTACGATGTAATTGCGTTTTGATATGGCCGAGGTTTCATTTACCATACACCCACACCATAAAAGGCATTTTAGTAGGGACATTGAGTTTATTTTACAAAGCTTGTAATACAATTCGATTATTTTATAAAAGGAATTGTCTCAGCAGATTCTTAATTTCTCTCTCTAGAGTTGTTAAATATATGGTTAAATTTTTCTTTACATTCTGCATACACTTCTTTTCTTTTTAAATAAAGGAGATGGCTTAAGCTTGTGATTCAATTATAAGGCCACGTTTGTTTGACGGATTAGGTTAAATGGAATTGTTAGTGAAACAATTATTAGTGAAGAGATTGTTAATGTGAAAATTATTAGTGAGAGGATTAAGTACAAGTGTGTTTATTTTGATGATAATGTAAGAGATGATTAGTGATGGAATTGTTAAATTATTTTTGTATAAAATAAATAAATAAATTATTTCTATATTAAAAAAATTAAAACAAATATTAAAACAAACAAGTGCGCTTTGCCTTAAAAAAAATTAAAAAAGTAAAATTTTTATATAAAATAAAATCAATCCCCTCACTATTTTCTTAATCCCAGTCAAGCTAATCCCCTATGTAAGCGTATTCATAATTCCATGGGACTACTAATTCCCTTTTATTTTTGTCAATCAAATATGGGCTATATAGGGGCCACAGGATTAGTAGTCCAATCCTTCCACCTATGTAACTAAACAAACATAACCTGGAGGTTATGTTAAGTTCATTGGAGCCAATTTGGTAATCTGATTTTAGGCCATGTTTGTTTCACAGGATATAAAATGAAGGATATAATATGATGTGAGATTTAGTCAGGATATATAATGAATAAGATATAGGTATTTGATAGTATATCCCCAAGTCATGTTTGTTGACTTGATATATAAGATTGGATATATGTTATTCATGTTTGTTTTACAAAATATATTGTGGGATATAACAAGTAATTTTTAAGATTACCCTCATAATATTATATTATATTATATTCAAAATTTATATTAAATTATATTATATTAAATTAAATTCAATAAATTATATTAAATTAAATTCAATTCAATAATATTATATTATATTAAATTCAAAATGTGTATTAAATTATATTATATTAAATTATATTATATTATATTATATTATATTAAATTCAATAATATTTATATTATATTAAATTCAATAATATTAAATTAAATTCAATAATTATATTATATTAAATTCAAAAATATATTGGTTTATGCTGACAGATGGGATAGCAGAGCCACGTGTCAGGAGATGACAGGGAGTGGATATGGGGCTCAGAAGGTATATAAGCATGTCTGCGCCCCCCATACGCGACAGACGAACACTCTGTAAGGAATTTCTTACACTCAAACACTCTCTCCCTTCTCTCTATTCCCTCTAAGGTGTGTGCTAATTTGATCGTCGGAGGGTGTTTCCGGCCACACACCGCCGGGTAGCTCACCGTTATTTGCTCGCAGGTGATCGGACATCGACGGAGCTCGGAAGAAAGGAATACGGGCACGCCGGAATATTTGCTCCCCGTACAAAATATAATTTTAAAAATAAATCATCTATTTTTTAAGATAAATATAATTCAAACATTAACTATTGATGTTCAATTAATTTTAATTTTTTTTATAAATGTTTCTTTTTGAAAAAAATTTAAAAAATAAATCATTTAAAATAGACTACAAAGTGAGTCTACCAAACCCACGAGTCATCGCTCAACACTTACTAAAATATAAATTTTGCTATTGAGAGGGTAATTTATACTTATAAATTGGGCCGAGCTGGGTAATGGATCATTATAGGCCACATTGCGAAGTGCTGAGTAAATAGGCCATGAAGTTACTCCGGCCCAAGAGAGGTGTAAAGTTACTTCGGCCCGCGAGAGACCTAAAGTTACTCCGATCCCAAAAGAGCTTATGGTAGGTTTGGTCGTCACTCACAAAAGTTATCCCGGTTTGGATCGGAGTATTGGTTATTCTGGTCTAGACATACCGTGGTTAGCATTAAGAAGAGCCAAGATAAAAGCAGTGAATGGAAGAGCCGAGCTAATGTTATCTCGGTCTAGTCTACGACTTAGCATAGCCATGCTTACCTCGGTCATGTCGAAGTCTGACCATGATAGAACCATCTCACTTGGTTTATGCAGTGAGGGGGTTGTTGAAGGATAGGCATTATCTTTCAGGAGTATGAATCCTAGGAGGACTCTACATGGAGGAGTAAAAGTCCTACTAGGATTGTGCCACGCGGAACCTATAAAAGCTTACAACATCACCTATGGAGAGGTAACACACAACTTTGATTCTCAAATACACAGAGCTTTTTGTCTTTGTCTATTTTGCTGACTTAGGCATCGGAGAGGTATCCGGCACACACCCGCCGGCTAGCTCACGTTTGTGTTTTCAGGGAGTAAATTGACATCGTTTGGAGGAGCGCAGACTTGATCAACAGGATTATACGAGAAGATTTATTTCTTTCCCGTACAATTGGCGCCGTCTGTGGGAATTTCAAAACAAGAACAAAACCTCTTGATCAAGCTTTTTCCTCTTTAGAATCAATGGCGCACAATGAAGATTTACCACAGTCCGCCATTGATGGACAAACACCAAAAGGAGGTGGGAGGCGCGAAGGTTTACCTCATGTCCCTCCCACGGCGGACTTGGAGCCCCAACAACATAACCCCAGGAAGGATGCTAGGGGGAGGCGGAATAACAGCCCCCGTCACCCTCATTCACAAAGTCCTGATAGACAAAGGCGGAGGATTGATCCTCAAGTTTTGGAGGACCATGTAAAGGAGCAGGACGAATTAATACGACGGATGGCGGCAGACATGAAGATTATGAAACGCCAGATGAAGGGAAAAGGAGTGGCGACAGCAGAGGGGCGCAAAAGCAAGGCGCCCCCTCGCCGCTCAGAAGATCATAGAAGACATTCCACACCATCACAAGCAAAGAGTAGAAGCCTCAGAATAGGCGATACTCAATCTAGAACCTCCAGAACTCGTTACTCCAGGTCTGAGAGAACGAGATCATTGAGGTCTTACACTGAGAGAAGTACATATCGACCCTCGCGCTCACACCAAACATCATCCAGGCAGACGGAGTTGCCGAGATCATCCGATTTGCGGAGTATGCTGGAAGAAAAAGCACGATTGAAGGAGGATACTAGGGCGCGCAACCCTCGCAGGGTATCTGCCCTTCAGCGATTGGCTCCTCGGACGCATGGAAGCGTCGAGGTCGGAATGCCATTACCACGCCCTGCTTACGAACCAACGGACAAAGCATTAGCAAGGCTGCAGACCTCGCCGTTCGTTCCGGCAATTGAAAACGCACCCCTTCCTTCAGGTTTCCTTCAGCCCAAGTTCACCACGTACGAGGGAAAGACAGACCCCTACATACACCTAAGCCACTTCCGCCAGGTTATGGCAGTATATCGACGAAACGAGGCTTTGATGTGCATCCTCTTCCCATCAAGCCTTGGTGACCTAGGCTTGACTTGGTTCTAAAAACTTCTAGAAGGCAGCATAGCCTCCTGGGCACAATTGGTGGAGGCATTCGTCACAAGGTTCAGAACGAACACCAAGACCCCGGTGGAGATTGACCAGTTACTCTCCATCGACATGAGCGAAAAGGAGACACTAAAATCCTACAACAGTCGCTACTGGGAGACATTCAACTAGATTGGGGACTGCCCCACCAATCTCGCCATTGCACAATACAAAAGAGGCATTCCAGTCGGAAACAGACTAAGGGACTTAATCACCATGACACCGCCCCTTACCATGAAGGCCTTGATGGAAAGAGTACATCAGCACATTAGGGTGGAAGAGGATGGCGCCCATGCCAAAACAAAATCTGGCACAGCAAAGATCAACGCGGTAGAACGTCCGAACAAAAAACGAACGAGGTAGGCGAGACAACGGAGAGGACCAGGATAAAAGATGGTTGAGAGTCCGCACTGCCATAATCACGGTATTCAAGAAACCGATCTACCGGATTTTGAGCGAAATACGCGATGAGCCTTTCGTCAGATGGCCAGCTAAGTTAGAAGAAACACGGAAAGACTACGACGAAAGATCGCGATGCACCTTCCACAAAGAAAAGGGGCACCGCACTGAAAATTGTATGCCATTGAAACAATATCTGGAGGAGTTGGTGGCAGCCGGTCACCTGGATAAATACATTGAAGGAGGGACGCAACCAGTCCCCCAGGACCACAATAACCCCAATGGAATGCCAATTGACGCCCCACCTCAAGGTATGATCAATGTGATACATGGAGTATTCGAACCTGAGCGTGTATGCGAGCTCAGAGGATCGATCAAGAAGGCTGAGCACTTAAGGGAGGTACTAAGTGCCCAACCTACCATCAAAAAGGGGAGAACTCAGGGAGTAAAGCGACGACGTTTGGAGAAGTGCAGACTTGATCAACAGGATTATATGAGAAGAATATGTTGTGCTCGTACAATTGGCGCTGTCTGTGGGAAAGCACAAAGAACAAAACCTTTTGATCGAGTTTTTCTCTTTGGTGGAAACCAATGGCACACAATGAAGATTTGCCGCAATCTACTATTGATGGGCAAACCCCGGAGGGAGGGGCAAAATCATTCTTCCAGTCAAGGCAGGAAGCGTGACAAAACAAGTGGAGTTTTGGGTGTTAAAGGTCCCTTCCACTTACAACATAATCTTGGGAAGAACATGGCTGCATGCCATGCGATCTGTAGCGTCATCCTACCATCAAGTAATGCGGTTCCCCAACGAAGTCGGTGTAATTGAAGAGGTCTTTGGAGACCAAATTATGTCCAAACAGTGCTTCGTCACGGTTAATGGCAGCCGCGCTGCCAAGGGATATGTTCATTCGGTGGAAGAACCTGAGAGCAATGAACTGTTCGCAGATGTCGGCAAAGTAGCTGACCAAAAAGCGGTGAAAGACTTGGTAAAGGTCGGAATAGATGATAAGAACCCGGATAAGTTCTTTTTGCTCGGTTCGTCATTGTCCAGCACTGAGAGATTAGAGGTCTTGGAATTCCTGACCTTTAACATCGAAGTGTTCTCCTGGACACCATACGACATGCCAGGCATCGATCCAAAGAGTGGTTGGCTGGATTAAACCAACACTTGGCACTCTTTAGCCGAAGTAA